GTAACGTGACATTTTGGACATTTGACAAAAGCACCAAGTCGACAGCTTACAGCAACTGTCTTTTAAACCTGAGTAAACAAGTCGACTCTTACCTCGCTCGAAAGAAACAACCGAGACTGGAGCAGTGTTTCCCCCATAAGAAGGTGGTGTAAGGGCCCATACAGCCGGAGCATATCTCGTTTTGTGTAGCACCAGGCGACTGTTTGACACAGCTCTGCAAAAAAACGTGTACTGTATTTTGATTTTGTGATGTCAGTTTCGTTCCCAGGGTCTCTCTTCCCTCCGTCGAGAGAGATCCTGGGAACGAAGATGGCTGGTTCCAAAAATTCAAAGCCAACGGCACAATTAATCAGAGATAGCTCCATGATCTCGAGCGAGGAAAAGATGAGCTTCCAAGTAGAGATGTATTTTTGCTCAGGTTTTCTTACTACATGTTACGTGCGTTTGTTTTCATTTCATTCTGTTTAATTTTTCAGGTGACCGTGATTGACTCGAAACTGGAATTAGTGCTGCAGATGTTACAGAATATTCAGAACACACGAGGCTCTCCTTCAGGAGGTAGCCACTCGTACGACTTGCATTTTCGCGGTAACGGCGACGGCGTATCTTCCAGGCGTTCATCCGTGTCACGCGCGCACTCAGATCCGTTAGACGTCAGGACGCAAATAAGCTCAGAAGCGCACGGCGTGACTACTCACGTGGTGCGCAACTCAGACATTCCTTGCGTGACTCTTAGCGATCCTGAATCGTTTCCAAGTACGGGTTCACGGCCGCTGTCGCTGAGTTCTGTGCACTCGCATTCGTTACACGGGAGTGTTTCTGGCGGAGAGCAACATCAAAACGTGGACCAGATAGACAACGTTTGCCTCAGTGATCCCGGCGCTCTTAGCGCACCGCTTCTGTCACGCATTCTTGTTAACGACAAGAGACAGTTGTCTGACGTGACTGAAGAGAGTCTTGGTGATTCGAAAGAAAATGTAGGCGGTTTGACACCCCCCGGACCAATATCTCAACAGAACTCGACCGCGTCTGATTGTGAGCCGGGTCCGGGGAGTGCAGATAGCTCCTTGACTGAACAAAAAGATGAAGAACCAGTTTGGGAAAAACAAGATACAGGTTTAGAATCTCGACGGCGGAAAAGGAGTCTTTTAAATTTAGGAGAAACGGAGACAAAGTTGCCAGATGATGAAGAGACATGGGACGCCAAAAATCCCTCCGATACAGGCCAAGAAAAAGATCCAGAGACATGGAATGTTGCAGAACTGTACACAGGGACACCAGAGCGAAGAGATTCTCCCAGCGGAGACAAGGGCACTTCACGGAAGAATGCCCAAGGACAGTCTGACGGTGAGCCTTCTTCTCGTGCGGTTGAAGAAGGACATTATGATTCGTCAGTTAGGTCTGCGCCGACGAGGATGTCGGCAAAGAGGCGTCCTCTGGTGAAATCGAATCCTGTGGAGGTCTAGAACGCGTTGAAATTCAAAACGCCAAGAATATATGACCAGACTTGGGCAATGATCATCCAGGGATTTTCATCAGCAATTATCCCGCTTTTAGAAACTGCGCCTTAAGGAGTATCAACTCCAACAGTGATTTCGCGAAGCCCAGTCGAGGACAAGATTAGAAGAGTTTCCGATTGTTTTGTCGTCCAATAAGAAATTGCAAGAGCCCTACGGGATTTCCTTCGCCGGGATTCCGACTGTTACAAAGGGAACTGGGCTCGACAATTCTCGCAGATGATTAGTACTTCTTCCCCTGATTGCCTGCTCCGGTCGAAAGAAAACGTGAGAGGAATAAGGAGAATAATAACGCGCCAGTTTTCCTTATCGCTCAATATCTACTCACTCTTTTATGTAGAAAAAGGAACACCTCAGGTTTTAAGTAAATTTCAAGAAAACAAATTCCGCTAAAGATCGAGTATTGCCTCGACACGCAACAAGACAAAAGTTCTTCGCAAACAAAAAATTTCTTAGCTCCAAGTAATTTTAGCAATGACTTAAAGCACCACAAGAAATCTTCTTGATGAAAGATTTCTCTGAAGCTGGACTCTTAGGTGGTGCGATTCTTAATGATTTTTTTTTTTGAAGGCACTGATTTTTGGCGCACAATTGCTTGTGGATAGCATTGCTTTTCGCGAACAAAATATCGCTATGAAGGAGTTGACATGGCCGCCGTTGCGCGCGTTTTATAGGGCAGTAATTTTGAACGCTGTTGCGTTAGAACGTTTGCGTTAGTTTTGTCCCTTTACGGGGAGTATTGATGAGAAATTCGCAGATCTTTTATTTAAGTGCAAGCTGGATTGTTTATTTGTTTTACCAAATGGCTTGTTTTATCAATATTACTGAGATTTTTCTCGTTAAAGGTGTATTTTTATAGAAACTTATCTGTATAATAGTGATGGAGATGTACAGTTAAATAAAGCGACTGTGAATAGGAGGATCTTTGTTTACAATATTTGCCTCATTAGCATAAGCGATAACATTTCTGAAGGAGCTACACAACGTTATATCTAAATATGGAAAGGGCACAGCACGATTAACTGTAGCGCGATGTATTGATTACTTTTTGTGCGACGCGGGTTTAAAAACTCAAAATTTTACAAAGAATGTTTAAGTTTATTAGCGCTTGTGGCACCCAGAAAGAGCCAAACATTTCACCAATTACTAAGTTTCACAAGCACTGGAGTCAATTTGTATCAACGTCGTATCTTTATGAGGAAAAATGTAGAATAATGACGACAAAATGTACATGTTAGTACCCAGACTTCCCCTACCCTCCGACTCATCTTATGGGGTGCTTTCCAAGTTCCAGTTTGTATTTCCGCAAATTACCAGTGGAAATGGCCAATTTCCGGATTTCTGCGTTGCGCCCGCAGTATCAACGTTATTACGCAATGCATATAACTCGTNAATGACTTAAAGCACCACAAGAAATCTTCTTGATGAAAGATTTCTCTGAAGCTGGACTCTTAGGTGGTGCGATTCTTAATGATTTTTTTTTTTGAAGGCACTGATTTTTGGCGCACAATTGCTTGTGGATAGCATTGCTTTTCGCGAACAAAATATCGCTATGAAGGAGTTGACATGGCCGCCGTTGCGCGCGTTTTATAGGGCAGTAATTTTGAACGCTGTTGCGTTAGAACGTTTGCGTTAGTTTTGTCCCTTTACGGGGAGTATTGATGAGAAATTCGCAGATCTTTTATTTAAGTGCAAGCTGGATTGTTTATTTGTTTTACCAAATGGCTTGTTTTATCAATATTACTGAGATTTTTCTCGTTAAAGGTGTATTTTTATAGAAACTTATCTGTATAATAGTGATGGAGATGTACAGTTAAATAAAGCGACTGTGAATAGGAGGATCTTTGTTTACAATATTTGCCTCATTAGCATAAGCGATAACATTTCTGAAGGAGCTACACAACGTTATATCTAAATATGGAAAGGGCACAGCACGATTAACTGTAGCGCGATGTGTTGATTACTTTTTGTGCGACGCGGGTTTAAAAACTCAAAATTTTACAAAGAATGTTTAAGTCTATTAGCGCTTGTGGCACCCAGAAAGAGCCAAACATTTCACCAATTACTAAGTTTCACAAGCTCTGGAGTCAACTTGCATCAACGTCGTATGTTTATGAGCAAAAATGTAAAACAATGGCGACAAAAAGTACATGTTAGTACCCAGACTTCCCCTACCCTCCGACTCATCTCATGGGGTGCTTTCCAAGTTCCAGTTTGTATTTCCGCAAATTACCAGTGGAAATGGCCAATTTCCGGATTTCTGCGTTGCGCCCGCAGTATCAACGTTATTACGCAATGCATATAACTCGTTCATCCGACAAAATGGCCGCCAAGGTTGTCGGGAACTTGCCCGCGCCATAGTTCTCATTAGAGGAGTCGGTGATGCTCTTCGCCGCGACCGCTTAATCAATAGAGCTTCCACTGGACCTTCAGGAACGTGTTTAAGTGAATATATCCCTTTGTGTTTCTTTACAAAGCTGGGTGCTTAAAAAGGCGATGAGCAATTCTCTCCATCGATCTGCGGAATGAAGCCAAACCATTTAGAAATTTATATATTTTCTCAAATAATCTCATTCGTCCTCTTCACTGTCAAGTTTCAAATAGACTGCAGTTCTAAAACAGTTTGAGCTTTTAACCAGTTGTTCCTAGCATTTGTCCTCATAGAGACATTGCGGACATGCAGTCCCGGGGTATATGCGCATATTCAGGTATATGCGGCTCCAAAAGGTATGGTTTTAACCGTTTCGGTCAGAAATAGGGTATCGATTTTGGCCATTTTGGTCTCAACATGACGGTATGGTTTAGCACCCTAGTCTTCAATTGTGTGGGTTTTTTTTTTTTTTTATAGAAGAAGCTACTTTTTCATCACTTTTTGATAAGACAATTAACAAAAACCCTTTACAATACCTTTAACATCGGTCTGACCTAGGAGCTAATTATAAGGCAGGTCAGAAACAGGGTTTTGATTTAAGGATCAGGTCATAAATTGTGCATCGAATTTTTGGTCAAGTCATAAATAGGGCAGGAGAATTGCAGATTTTGGCCTTAAATAGGGTAAGGGTTTTAGGAAGCGGACCGCATACCCCCACCCCCACCCAATTTTTCTAGTACTACCTCTCCCCTTCGAATATGCAATCACAGCTTATAAGAAATTTTTATATCTAACGGTATTTTAAATGTATTGCATTGAATATGAATTCATAAAGCAAGCAAGAACGTTTCTGGTCATAGTCGCTACTTTGTTTCTTCCATTCCCAACATACTACCCTAATTAAGTGCGCTAACACATTACTCGCCAATTTAAGTTCTTCTTTACTCGATGTGGACATATCAGCTGTTCAATGGTTGTTGTTTCCCAGTCTTGACCTGTAAAGTAACATACAAACATTGATTTAAAAAAACGATGTATTCATGATTGATGTTTTGGGATATTTTATCGCAAAATAGACTACAAAAATAACAAAAAGACGCAAATTGGGCTGCTTTACAAATACGGATGCTAGCTCACTCGATAACTACTTTTTTTGGAATGCTATGGCCAACCGTACTCCGCTCGGGTTCTGCAAATTTTGAAAGCCGAGGGAGTGTGGATGGCATAGTGGTGAGAGCGCTCGCCTCTCACTGATGTGGCCCGGGCTCGATTCTGGCCCGGTGCCACATTTGGGTTGATTTTGTTGTTGGTTCTCGCCTTACTCTGAGGTGTTTTCTCCGGGTACTCCGGTTTTCCTGCCTCCTGTGGAACTATCGTTTTCCAATTCCAATTCGATCAGGATAAAAGATTTTCGTGAAAACCAGCTGGGGCTGATTTGGCTTCCTCTGTAAATATTGTAATTTTTATTTATTTTTATTTTTATTTAACAGTTTTCACCAGACGTAAGACACACGAAACGAAAAGAAGAATGCCAATTTGTTTACTCATTTTGTGGGGTAGCCATGGTAACAGCAAATTAGTCCATGGCACTCTCCCATTCCGTGTATTTCTCTCTCGCCCCAATCACACTCGGGCTTGCAGACCCCAGATATGCCATGATATATGTAGCACGTATCCCACTCTTCCTCTGACAGATATAAAGGATTCCAGAGATAAGAAAAAAGGTGTATAATGTATTAACGTATAGCACTCTTGTAAATTGTCTGTTAGTGTACAGTATCCTCGTAGCCCTAGCGCAGTGTGTTGCTTGGCTATTTATATTAGAGCTGCTTTGACGTTGAATATATAGGTGACCGTGTTTACTTACTAACGAAGATGACTTCAAATTATAAAGTGTATCTCTAACTTGCAAAAAAACCAACACCGAACCTAACTGCTATTAAAAACTGATCTTGTGAAAGTATAAAAGCTATAAAGAAAAATTGAAATACCATAATCTTCCATTATTGACTTTCCAATCACAGCAACGGCATAAAAGATTAACATGAAGACCACGAATTTTCCTTCCATGTTGCTGGCTGTTGCATGAGAGAATAAGGGTTACTGTTATATGTCTATTTTGATGTGTGCAAAAAAAGGATAATATTAAATTGTAATATTATTAATATAGAATATAAAGGAACAATAGAAAGCCTTACACAAGCGAACTTTTGCAAGAGTTAGGAGGGGTAAACGTCTTGCATTGCGCAAGAATTGAGGTCGACAAACTTTAATTTTAAACATGCTCTGTGTCTTATTGTACAGGGCACTACAGTAAAGTAACAAAACATATGAAACACGTTCACTAGACACCCTTAAGCTCTTGGCAAGATACGGGACTTAATTGGTGCTCTCAGGACGGCAGCAACATGAATGGTTTTTTTTTTTTTTTTTTTTTTCATTCATTCATTCTGTTTTTTTTTGCCTTTTTACTTAATGTGCAGTATTTATTCATTCCTGCCCTCGTCATTTAAATCCGATGGCAATACAATCACGGATCCCATGGACATCGCTGACAGATTCTGTAAATACTTTACCAATATTGGCCCCAACTTAGCGAGTGCTATACCTACCGTAAATTCGGCTACTTTTCGCTCATTTCTTGGTAGCAAAGATCATCCTCCAATTATTCTAAAACCCACCAATACTCGTGAATTGGAAAGCATTTGTAGCTTATTTTCGCCGAGAAAGGTCTCTGGTTATGATAATATTTCTATGCGTGATAAAGCATTCATTTCACCTGATTTCCGCACCTCTCGCAAACATTATAAATCTTTCCCTCCTAAAAGGTATCTTCCCAGAAAAACTAAAAACAGGTAACGTAATTCCCATTAATTTACAAAACAGAGGATCCGAGTCTTTTTGTTAATTATAGACCAATTTCTTTGCTGCCAAATTTCTCAAAATTCTTTGAAAAGGTCATGCATAATCGCTTACTCGAATTTGCCGAAACANGCGAAATTAAGAATTTGTCTGATTTTTACAGGCAGGCACTCTTAATACGTATTGCTAAGCGTACGTATTACGACTCTAAACTAGAAGATGTAAAAAAATGACCTTAGAAGAACATGGAAACTACTAAATGAAGTTATAAACAAATGTGAGAACAATTCATCCCTGCCGTCATCATTTAAATTCGATGGCAATACAATCACGGATCCCATGGACATCGCTGACAGATTCTGTGAATACTTTACTAATATTGGCCCCAACTTAGCGAGTGCTATACCCACTGTGAATTCGGCTACTTTTTGCTCATTTCTTGGCAGCAAAGATTATCCTCCATTCATTCTAAAACCCACCGATACTTGTGAATTGGAAAGCATTTGTAGCTTGTTTTCACCAAAGGCCCCTGGTTATGATAATATTGCTATGCGTGTGATAAAGCATTCATTTCACCTGATTTCTGCACCTCTGGCAAACATTATAAATCTTTCTCTTTTAAAAGGTATCTTCCCAGACAAACTAAAAATAGGTAAAGTAATTCCCATTTACAAAACAGAGGATCCG